TGTGAGGGGCCAGGGGCTGTGAGGGGCCAGGGGCTGTGAGGGGCCAGGGGCTGTGAGGGGCCAGGGGCTGTGAGGGGCCAGGGGCTGTGAGGGGCCAGGGGCTGTGAGGGGCCAGGGGCTGTGAGGGGCCAGGGGCTGTGAGGGGCCAGGGGCTGTGAGGGGCCAGGGGCTGTGAGGGGCCAGGGGCTGTGAGGGGCCAGGGGCTGTGAGGGGCCAGGGGCTGTGAGGGGCCAGGGGCTGTGAGGGGCCAGGGGCTGTGAGGGGCCAGGGGCTGTGAGGGGCCAGGGGCTGTGAGGGGCCAGGGGCTGTGAGGGGCCAGGGGCTGTGAGGGGCCAGGGGCTGTGAGGGGCCAGGGGCTGTGAGGGGCCAGGGGCTGTGAGGGGCCAGGGGCTGTGAGGGGCCAGGGGCTGTGAGGGGCCAGGGGCTGTGAGGGGCCAGGGGCTGTGAGGGGCCAGGGGCTGTGAGGGGCTTGTTGGAGCCCGAGGGGATGCTCTGAGGGGATTTGGGTGGAGAGCCCCTGGGGGACGCCTGAGGGGGGGGGTTGTGTTGTGGAAACCCAACTCTCTGTCCTTGCTGGGAAATCCTCTCCCTTTCGGTGTCAGACATAACCACTACGGCCTCAGCGGTGGCTTTTTGCTGTCTTTAGGGGCATCAGGTGTGCACGCTGCCTGGCGGGCGATTTAACGCTGTCGCTGAGCAGCTTTGCTTCCATTCAGAGATAACCATTACTTCGTGTGATTATGAAGCAGTTAATCGTTAAGGCTGCTGCCAACTTGGTGCTGAAATCTGGTTTTGCATACTCGAAAAGGCGCAAGACTAAAGTACTGGGTCAGCTATCCTGTTGGACGTTAGCTGTATGCACCGGGGTCAGCGTGTATTTGCAGCAGCCACTGGTGTAGCATGAGCAATGGAGGAATAAGTTATTTTCTCATTGTTGGCCTCTTTTGTAAAGGCAGAGTTGAGGTTATCTGGGTGGCTGGGGAACAGAGGACTGTTATGCTTTTGCTCTTGCGGTTTTTTGTTGGTTTTTTTTTTCTTGTGGGATGCAGAGAGGACCCTCACAGCTTGTTTCTTGGTTTCCCACATCCGAATTGTGACGTTCCTCAGAGAGATTTGGGCGACTGCAAAGTTAACCCCCAATCCCGAGGCGGATTTTTATGGTGGGGATATAGAAGTTTTCATTTTTAAACAGTTCTGTTCAATTTCAGGAAATGAAACGGCAAGGTACTTGAATCTGGAGCACAGGAATGCAGCACTTTGCTTGGGAAAATCAGATAGATAATTCTCATGAGCAGCAAGGCGAACCTTTCTAGGAGGCAGGAACGAGGAGGCTTCTCACGGTGTCTCTGGGAGAGGAAAGTGGCTGCAGTTTGGTCTCAGGTCGTGGCAGGCAGGACTGATTCTTGTCGTGCCTGATGCCACTGGGACAGTGCTGGGGAAAGAGGCTGGTGTGAAACCAGCAGCCTGCCAGCGTCTGTCAGACAAAACAGCCAAGTTCGGGGCCTTCTGGAGGAAAGTGGTGAACAATTTGCATAAATGTTGCTAGATCTGTTACTTGCGTTTGGCTGTGTAGGTACTAATCTCCCAGGGCAGATGTGTCAGTACGTTGTCAGTTTACTGGGACTGTGCGTGATAAAAATACTAAAAACCAGCAGGACTTCAAAGCAACCCAGTTGCGATACTCATACATATTTTTATGCGCTGTATATCAGAGGGAAGCCGTGCGATAGCTCTGCACATGTCAGCGTAACTGCAAGTAGGTCTGTTGCACCTTGCTGGAGGAGACAGGGTTTTGGCAATCAGAGATGCTATGCTAATCCCCAGCAGAGAGGTAATTTCAAATGGCTGGAGCACACTTGCTCCCTTCCCTCCTTCCTGCCTTTGAGGCATTAACGGACTTTTTGCCTGAAACTGGAGCAGAGAATTTCAGAGAAAACGGCTCTGGACCTCCTGAGATTTTACATAGCTTTCAATGTAATAACGTTTACTTTAAGAGCACTGCAAACTCTCTAAGGCAGGCATTTTCCACAATTAGTAACTAGTTTTTCAATTCCCCTCCCGGTTTTTGAGAGAGCTGGGAAGGGAGACTGTGACAGCAAAATTAAATGGAATAAACACAAAGGGAAAAGTCTATTATGTACTATACAAACTTACGTAAACGCCCCTTAGGAAGATCAGCCTTAACCACTGAAGTCAACAGGCGACATCAAATCCATGCTCTGACCACACGGTTAACCTTTAACCAGGTCACAGCAGGGACAGTTGGGACATTAAGCACTGAATGGAGCTCATACAGGTCTCTGACATTTTGTACTTGTTCACTTACTAAATGTAAGCATTTTCTAAATCATCAATCTTCTGAATCACATTCGACTACTGATCTCAGCGTCTTTCTACACATTCAGTCAGTCCCCAGATGCATTGCTCTCCTTTCAACATGTCAAAACCCTGTTCCCTGACATTGCATTTGTTACACCACCCATCCTGTGCCGTGACCATCTCCTGCTTCATCTCGAGTAGGCTTTTGCATGGCTTCTCTCATCTAAGCCTTTTCTCTACCCATTGTAACCTCTTTACCGACATATGGATGGACCTTTTACACCAAGACAGCAAGGATATCTTTTATCCTTGCCAGCACAACTCTTTGTTTCTTCCTACCCTTCTTCTGCCTAGACATTTACCTGTCATTTGTCTTTCTTCTGGTATCACCTTTCTGCTTCCTCCCCGCATTGCTGTCAATGGCAGAGCTTCAGCCAGTCTCTCTTCAGCTCCCTCCTTAAAATGAGTTACCTTGCTGTCGTTTCTGGACGAGTTCTGGTGGTAGGTACCTTTAGTCAGTCAGATCTCCCGGTGTCCATATTTGCCTTTGCCTGCCACTGAAGGCTCCATAGGTCTTATCTGTTTGGTTGGTCAAACAAGGAACCTGGAAACAAAATCAAGTTTTGTTGTCTGGATTTTATTTCCTTAAAAGGAAAGGGGAAATTTGTCTTGAGGGTCTTTTTTAAAGGGCTTCTCTCCAGCTATGCACAAAGGACACTAGATCCCCCTCACACAAAATACCCTTAATTGCCTCTGACTTGCAGGGCAGACCTATTAGCACAACATGGCTGTACAATCAGACACTGCAGGTATAATTATCTCCAGTATGAGTAAAATAGATTATGCTTCAGTTTCCCAGCATGTTTTCCCTTGGTACTTCCCAGCCTGTCCTGCTCTCTGGTGCGCAATTCGGTGGGGCAGAAAGCACCCAGTGCCCTACTGCACCAGACCCTTCAAGCCTACTGAGCTTACAGACCAGTACCACTGAAAGCAGCTTTGATTTAGCAGTCTTTCCGCTCCATTCCTGAAGGAGCCTTTCCACCCCACCGCATCCTCAGCACCCTTACTGATGCTGAATAACAGGCAGAAATGCTTAGGAAAGCCATATAAGCGCAGTTGACGCAGAGAGAAATTATATAAGTAGCAGCAGCATGAAAAACTTCAGGGGAAGTCTCCTCTCTTCGGTTATCGTGTAGGAAGCTAACAGAAGACTGTATGGTTTCCTAGGCACAGCTACCCTTATTGCTATTTTAATCCGGTGTCGAACGTCTTTCCAGGGAGAACAGATAACAGGATACACTCGCAGACTGCGGTAATGCTGTCCTTGTGCCTGCACTTTTGCCCAGCAGATTTCAGATATAGTTTTAACAGTGACTGGTACAGTCACTCGTGAGAACTGGCCCAGGCATTCAATAGGCAATAACATCGACATTTCTGCCCTCCCTGGACAAACTCCCGACCCAGTTGTCTCTCCCCTTATTCCATGCGGAATCTGCTTCTGAGATCCAATATCATGAATGCATGTGACCAGACAGATTTTAACCCCTAATGATTCAGACAAAATAAGTTACGTAGGGTTTGGGGGATTTTTAACATTGAGGACTTTTCTCTTTATTCATTCATGTTACACTTTGCAATTCAAGTATTAACTGAGGGAGATAATGTAAATTGCACTCCTTCAATTTGAGTAAGTGAGGAGAGTGACTCAGAGCAGGCTCATGCTCTCTTGTCTTTTCATATTTTCTAAATTACATTTTATATTCAAGCAATTAATATTCTGGGTCCTACAGATGGTTCAGAAAGAGAAATGGGACAGTTAGAAAGCCCTGGGAGAGACAAAAGATCTTCTAAAGATGGCCAAAGAATTTCAGAGTTCCTACCTTTTTTGTGCTGTCACTTGAAATCAGGGGTGGGGGCAAATTCAGTGTAATTTTGTCTGCTCCTGAAGTTAGTAACTGAAACTCAGAAGACACCTTCTGTGATTAACGTGCCGCAAGATGGTGTGAATTCAGAACCTTTTCCTTAGTGCTGTGACATTCAGGGAGCTTTTGAATGTTAATTTTTTATCTTCGATCATCATAGAAACTGAGAAGGAAAACAGAAGGAAATTAAGCAACATATCCAAGGCTAACCACTAAATCAATACCAAAACAAACTAGTAACTCTAACTTGTTGTCCCAAAGCTTCACCTGTCCAATGCCGTAACAGCAACTGTGTTTTCTCCTTAAGGATATTCATGGCCATCAAATTGCTCCTTTAAAGTACTTTCCATGTATGCAGTGTTATTTTATGCATACCTATCAATCTACATAACTTGTAACATAATAATATTGCAGAAAAAAAAATCAAGGTTTAAAAGAAACATTTAAAAGCTTGTCGAATAACAAACTGCTGCTTTTATATCTTCCGATTGATCATGGATTCATCTGACTGTGTTACTAAATGTTTTGTGAGAGCAGATTGTTGACAACGCTTTAGATTTGGAAATGGCCTTCCATTTATAGTTTCCACTTCTGGCTGAAATAGGAATTCTGTAATTAGCTTTTTCGCTCAGCACGGAAGGGATGTCTCTCACCTTTGCTAAGGTGAACTAATGCAAAACAAATATCCTTTCCCACAATACATTTCCACTTTTGTGTTTAGCTGTAACCTCTCAGACCTGTTAATGTTGCCTCCTAGGGCTCTTGTATCAGGAATATCGAGATAAATCTACACGCCAGGAGATCGAAACCCGACGACTGCAGGATTCACAGACAGACCCTGAGGAGAGTTCACCCAGCGAAGAAACCCCATCTGAAGCAGAACCCACAAGTACAACCGAAAGCAAAGCTCCACCACAAATCAGTTTGCTGAGGAACTCCAACTCCAGGTTCAACTTATGGCAGGATCTTCCTGAGATCCGGAGCAGCGGGGTGCTCAGCATCCTCCAGCCAGATGAGATCAAGCTGCAGGAGGTAATGGGGGAAGGTGGAGTGTTTCTTAACTGGGTTGCTGCTTAAAAGAGTGAGAGTGAATTAAGTCAAATGATTAAGATTTAAAAATGAAAAGCTTCATAGCAGTCACAGACAAGCCTTGCCCTGCTGAGTACTTTTCTGTGTTGCACTGCTGGTACCACTCACTCTTTTTTTGAAACTACAGATGTTATTCTATGTGCTATTGCTGCTGGAAATTTCTGTAGCCAAACCAAACTTCTTTTCCCTTTTCTGATTCAGTGTTAGGAGCAATTTACAAAGGAAGACAAGGATAACGAAGAGTCTCTTGCAATAGACCTTTTGGTACCCAGTGCACATTAATCCTCTTCTCAAGTTACTAGCAGAATATATACTTTCCACCAGAAATCTTACAAGAATTCAACTGTTAACTGTAATCTGTTTTAAATATGATGGCCTTAATGGAAAGGGAAGAGATGGAAGTTGATAAGCTTCCTTGGTTTTAAATGCTATTACTTGGAGTCTTATGCAAAACAGTAAAAAATAATGACAGCTATATTTGCATTTTAGCCATACAGTGCAGTGACATCACTGTTTAAGAGTCATATGCTGTTAATTTATAGGGCTGCATCAAACAGTGAAAGGAGTTGGTGGGGGTAGCTGCTGCAAGTAATGAAAACATCAGTCACACGGCAATTTACAACTGGTTGCTATTTTGGGTAGCATTGGGAGCACGAGTGCTCTTTGTCGATGCACAGGACTGCATTAGTAGCTGGCAGTGGAGAAAAACAAACCCTTTTTAGTGTGTGGTGTGCATTGTAATACGAGCGATGGGCCTTCAAAGGCTCGATCCTGTGAGTCCTGCTATATTCCTGCACCAGGATTGCTTCTGCTGAGACCGTTGTGGCAGTGTATCTCTTCAGCCCTGGCTCATGAGATTGTAGCCAAAATGCTGAAGAACAGCGTCTCAGGGTGTGAGCAGATCTCCCTAAGTTTACCTGGATTTGCACAATCGACATCTATGAATCCCTTGTGTATACAGTGCCACCCTAGTCCTGGCCAAGGCTGTAACTTTACTGTTGCGCTGGAAGGGCTCATATTGGGAACCGCAGGGCTGTGTTACACCCTTAGTGGATGGGACTGATGTTCATACAGGGTGGCTTGGGTTAGCAAGCACGGGCTGTTAGTGTGTCAGGGTTACGGCTGAAGGTGACTAAAATTATTTGTTGCTTTTCCATGTTCTTCTTCTGCACTGGTTATTTCCGTATCAGATTTGTTCTGTTTACCTGGCAAAACACCGTACTTCTAACTGCCAGCATTACAAACACAATCTGGCATCTGAAAAATTACAAGCTTTTCTTTTTCTTTCTGCTTCAAAATGAAGAGCCTTTTACAGAGAAACATTAACTTAAAAGTTTGCATTATAGATTTCAAAACCTGCCATTTCTGTTGAGTTACATTCGTTACCTGTAGGTGTTTTAAGGAAAAAATCTTTCTGCTGCTAAACCCCAATGTTAAGTGTTCTGAATTTTCTTCTCTTGGTCTAAATAACAAGAGAAATAAAGCAGATGGAGACGGGACAGTTCTGCCTTAAAAAAGTGCTGTGCTTTCCCCTGATGTTAGTTTATCAGAGCTGAAATTTTCTTCCTGTTTGTTCTGGGATTAGCACAGTAAAAGATTATAAAATTGCTCAAAGCCAGAAAGCTGTGAAATTGGCTGAACATTGAATAGATAAAGTGGAGAATTTGCTTTGTGAGGAGAGTCAAGGACAGAAAACAAGGAGGGCTGGAGAAATCACTGAGGCAATTAAAGAGATTATGTTGAATTCAGCCTTGCTATAAGCAAGCACGGCTTGCTCCTGCAGGGCTGGAACTGTACTCATGCTGGATATGAATTGGGAGTGTGAACTGTACATGAGGGCTTGATTAAGTAAATGTAGAGTCTTCAGCTTCATGAAGGAGAATTGGAGGAATTTACCTGAAGTACAGGGCAGCAGAAATTCTGGTGTAAATGTCTTAAGGACAAAACTATACCTTTCTGACCCATTTTATCTTCAAAAGCTGTGGTAAACACAGGGACTAGAAGAGCTTGCAGTTCTTCAGCCAGCTACAAGAGTATTATTTAGACCCCAGGGAGGAATACCAGTACACAAACAGAAGGAAAGTTGAAGCAAACACCCCTGTTCATGGCTGAGGAAGGGAACACCATCATAGCTGTGATGGAGCAGGACTTAAACAGTCAGAAAAAAAGTTGCACATCTGCAGTAATCTGCAAAATGAAGGAGACAGGAACAAGAAGAGGAATCTGGTGTTTGTTATTGGCAATGACAGAAAATTACTAAGGAGGTTACAAGATAAAACACAAGACACAGGTGTTTTTCAAGCATCAAAACAAGAAACTTGACTGGAAGAGCAATGGATGTTTGAAAAGTGTCATGGAAGGCAATTTGTCATTGTCCTCATTGGAACAAATGAGCCAGAAAATGGAGTTTCAGGAAGAAAAAGAAAACACAAAAAAATCCCCAAACCCACATCCACCCCCCAGCAATTTCAGCAAAAAAAATGTTGCAGCATGGCCCGATAGCCCCGGGAACTCAAACCAAATTCAGACAGCAATGGCCTCTGCGACACCAGCCTTTTTCATCTGAAGCGAACGTGAGAGTAGCAAGATGTAAAACAACAACTGGAAGTGTCACAAAAAATGTGGGTGCAAATGCAGAAAAAGGAAGAACAAAAGAAAAAGCAAAAGACTTGTTACAGACCACAGAGGTCAGGGAAATACGAAAATTATGTGCTACTGGAATAATTATCAGAAATTGCTAAGTCATTGATAGGGTAGTTTTAATTATCCGGACATCTGTTGAGCATCAAACACAGCAAAACACAAATCACCAAGGGCTTTCTTTTAACTATCCAGAAAATGTAATCATGCAAGAACAAGCCAAAAGAAATGCTGTTGGGGTTCTGACATAGAGTCAACATGGAGGAAGTGACAGGCAACACGTATGTAGCAGGAGGAACAAGTGACTAGAGACAAAACACACTCCCTGTATTACATGTGATTTAGGTTAAATTCTGCACCAGGGTACTAGGCTCCGAGGAGGTAGCAGTCTAGAGATTAGAAGAAACAACATTTAATCAGTGAAACTTCTTTCAGCATCAACCTTAAATTAGGTATAGATATGGCCTTTTTGTGGAGTGGCTCTGGTTTATTCCTCTTTCCTAGTTCAGTTCTCTACCTTTCAGTTTGTCCTTCTTTTATTTACTGCATAGTTACCTCATTTTGTCCTTTTCTGCTTGCTAACTGTATTGATTTTCCTATACTGTCTTCATCTTCTGTGTCTTAGGAGATTCTGAGCTGAGTGGAACTTGCCCAAAACAATTTACTAGTAAAAATAGTTTAGCAAAGTATTCTCAATCTTTGAACTGAACCATTTTTGCTGAGATGTTATGAGCTTTGATGAAGTTTTTGCCAGGGATTATTTGGATTCAGGTCACTTTGGTGTTAGAAAAAGGGGCAGAGACAGACTAATCTGCACCATGTGTCATGGTGTGAATTTCGATGAGAGAGCTGCTGCTCTGAAAATATTCTTTGCTCAAGCAAAAGAGGGACTTGAACCTGATTGTGTGCACTGGTGACATGGCTTCTGTGTGGAGGAGCACATTTGACAGGTAGGCAGTCTTTCTCTTTTGTTCTTTTCCTTCTTTGAGCAAACCTTAGATTTCAAACTTCCAAAGAGCTCTCGTGCTGGATTTAGTGCGCTTCTAGCAGGTGGATGTCAGAGTGGCCCTGTGAAGGTAACCATGTCTGAGAGTTGGTCACAGCCAATGCTGTGGCATCGGATCAGAGCAACATCCCTCTTAGACTAGACCAGAATTCCCCCTGCTTACCTGGTGGTTTACATGAAGAGAGCAGGGCCATTAGGAACAGGTATTTCCAATCTATACAATAAAACACCGTATTGTCTCAAGAGGAATTTAGCCTGTAGGATTACTTACTCTTGTCTTTGATGACTCTTAATTTTTCTCCTTTTCTCCTTTTTTATCTTCTACATTTCCTTCTTCCTTAGGCTTCACTTCTCTTTTCCTTTCGCAATTTCTCTGCCAAAACATAAGCAATGAAAATGATTAGTATAGCTAACCACGACAATGTGACTCAATTTCATGAAGTTAATGACCCAGAGGACTGATGGAATAGTGTTGGTCATGTTTCCAAGAGATAGTTTCAGACTATTTGTAGACTCAGGAAGATAGTATTGCTTCAATTGACATTTCGTTCAAATTTTTTTCTAGTTATTTTTGCAATTCTGAGACCAGACGCTTATGTTCTTTTTTTCTAGCAACTGCTTAGAGCTAGCAAAGTTCAGTTATTCCACAGAGATCACATCATCGCATCGTGTGGTTGGATGTTTGATGCCAGTTTAGGTTTGCAGCTCATACTTACCATTCAAAGGGAAACAGCTGTTGGCTGCTTGGAGTTGGTACTTCGGCTCTGCAGAGGACCAGCTGGATCTCCAAAGTAAATGAAGAAACTCGTGCCTTGCACATCCTGTGAACTCTACCAGAATCTTGTCCCCACCAGTGGGGATGTTCTCTATTTTTCCTAGCATCTCCTTTAAATCAGAACCTTGTGCATTGATATTTTCACTATGGATTTCATTATTTCTTTAGCATGGCTTGCACTCTGCGCATACCCATGCAGGTATAGCAAACACACACAAATTAATTTCTCCAAACATAGGCATAGGGGCTTCTGCAGATCAGGAAGCAACCTCCTGGATTAAGCAAGTTGTCTGGGGGTTTAAAGGCTGTGGTACAGTGGCAGGTCTTGATCTTGGCTCTCATGGCCGTCCTGCAATCAAACCTGGCAGAAAAGAATAATCCTGGTTTGGAGTGTCTGGAAAGCTGCAGTGCAAAATGACTGGTGGTATCAATCCCGAGGCTATCTGGAAGGGACAGGCTGTCCCAGCATGTCCTGTCTTATTCTTTGTTGTATCTCTATCTATTTCCGCTTCTCCTCTCATTTATCAAATTTAAAGGTACAGTTAATGCTGTAAGAGGTGCATTTAGGACCTAGCCCGTCATGCAGGGAGAAATATGTTCTCTCAGGTTCACTGGATACCCTGGTGAAGCTGTTGGGGGAAGCTGAGCTGATACTCCTCCACTTTTCTCATTGGGAATCTGGCATTGAAAAAAAAAACAAAACATCCTTTTATTCCTTAAACACCAGCTGTTCCACGTACACTGACCAAGTATGTTTGTTTCTACCCACACTCTTTGCTCTGTCTCCCTTCTGGGGGCTGTGCAGACCCAGCCTCCTCCTCTGGTGCAGGAAAGGACCGCCTGTTTGACTTAGCTGCCCACTGGGAATATTTCCTAGGCTACCAACCCCGCAAAGAGCTGAAGCGTCACTTCAACTGATATTTTAGCAGCTCTGGATTAAGTAACAGTCCCTCCTTGCTGTGCCCGTCCTCTCAGATCTTGGACTGCAGTGTCAGAAATATAACCCAGGTTTCCATACCTCAGGTTCTTCTGTGATGCATAGCAATATTTCCATGGAAAGGCCAAAAACCAATCAGCAGAGAGTTTCAAATAATTCCTTTAAAAAAAAAATTAAAAAACAACTCCAAAAAAGAACAACCAAGCCACAAGACAGATCCTCAGCTAATCTGGAAGATATTTTTCCATATGCACAGCACAAAAAACTATTGTATGTACCTGCTGCTCCATTGGATCTCCTTGACCCTAGCTGGGTCCCTGCAGCCTGAGAGCTGGCAGACCTCGGGGACTGGCAGCCACACTGCCTGGCCAGCTCCCACCCTCACCAGGGTGCACCAAAGGAGCTGTGGGCAGCAGAGGAGCTTGGGCTGAAGGGTCGAAGCAGCTTTAGGTTCAAGGAAGCGAGACTTTGAGCTACCGAAAGGTTCCTTTTGCAGTAGTAGCAGCATGGGGCAGCCCCAGGACAAGGGGCCCTTCATCAAGAGATGTCTGAAGGATCGAATGATTTTTCACCATATTGAAGCCTTTGTGAGAAACTTAATTAATCTTCAACTAACGGATTCAGTAGTTGTGTAAATAATCACCTTTTTTATCTACCTCTTAACGAAGACAATGAGTGTTTGCTTGAGCAGTAAGTGAACTCTGTGTGGCAATAGTGGACTGCAGCACCTGCTGGGGGCAGGTTTCACATCCTCGTCTCATTAACTTGTGATTTATCTCTGAACCAAACCATCAATTTGTCTTTCCGCTTCCCCAGACCACACCCCCGGCCTGAGGAGGCCGGGCTTTGCACCAGAGACTTCTCTTTTAACAGGAGAAGCAAGGGCTGGAATTTGGAGATTATTTATGGCTTACAGTAATAATTGAGGACTGCTTTGTCTTGTTGCAGTCTTTGGTGAATTGGGTCAGAAAGTGTAAGGCCAGGGAGCCTCACTTGGACAATAACAGCTGTATTTCCTTCAGGTCAGGGAAGACACAGGGGCTGGGAGCACCACCGCTGTGTATTTGTATTAGCTGTGCCCCGAAGAGCACGTGGTGCACACTGGGACTGCCGTGTGCTGGGTGTTGTACAGCCCAGCCCCTACACCGTGTTTTTTTCTAAAACAGGAGTGTAGATGGTGCAAGGACACCCTCCTGGGTAGCACAATAAGGCACAACGAGCAGAGCAACAAGCCAGCGCAGCGGTGGTCCGCAGGGGGTTGGAGGGTGTAGGGGGACTGCCAAGGGGAACTCCCCGAAAGGGAGATGGAAGTGCAGGACTGTGACAAGTGGACATAGAGGGGGCCGGTGCTTGGAGCAGCCTCGGGTCAAGACTGAGTGACGCTGGGAAAGAAGGAGGGAGCTCATGAAGTGCTGTTATGTGTGCACATGCACAAAATCAGACTGCCTATATATAATGAGAAAAAGAGATAATTCTTCTGGGGAGATTCAATGGAAAGAAATGTAGTCAAACAACTTAGGAGAAAGACAGAAGGAGCCAGGTCTGATGGTTGAGGTAGGAAATCTCACCTGTTCAAGTCACTATTCTGTGTAACACATGGCAAATGCCATTGCGTGCTTACCTCTCCCCGTACGCCAGGCCTGGAGGGTGTGTGTGCAAGGTCCATGACTGCGTGCAGCACAGATGTTCTCATTAATGTTACGCGTGCCTCTCTATAGAATTGGAAGGTACCTGCTGATTTCCTTCTTTGGGATTCTCCCCCAGGCCATGTTTGAGCTGGTTACCTCCGAAGCCTCGTATTACAAGAGTCTGAATCTGCTGGTGTCTCACTTCATGGAAAACGAACGTCTGAAAAAGATCTTACACCAGTCTGAGGCACACATCCTCTTCTCCAATGTCCTGGATGTCATGGCTGTTAGTGAGCGGTAAGGCAACTGCTGCTGGATTTTTGTCGGGCTGAATGGCATTGCTTTAGCTAACCTCATTTGTAGGGGGATGGAGGAGCTGACTAGGGGCAGTCTGTTACCCACTGACTTTTCAAAGAGCCTGTGGACACATTCATTGCTTTGAACCCCAAGGGCTGCTTCTGGGAACTACCTGGGACAGACAGGTCACAATTAACATGAGTGCTGCGTTTCTCATCTAGCTTCCTGCTGGACCTGGAGCACCGGGTGGAGGAGAATATTGTGATCTCGGATGTGTGCGATATTGTCTACCAGCATACAGTTAATCACTTCTCTGTGTACATCACCTACGTCTCCAACCAGACCTACCAGGAGAGAGCTTACAAGCAGCTTCTGTGAGTTCCAGTGCTTGATGCTAAATTATTTTGATAATTGTATAGGCCACAGATTTAGCTGTAATTTTGATATTTATGAGAAAGGGCTGGATAGCACAGAAACAGGATTTCCCACTTCACTGATTTTTCACTGTACCTCTAAAAAGAAAACACAATTAAAAGGCTTTATAGTAAGGGTGGTATGATATAGTATGCAAGTAACATACCAAGTAAATTCAGAGCCAGCAGCTCCCAACTGTGGGAAATATTTATGGTGCACACTGGGGGACACACTTGTGAAATGTATGTATTTTTAAACTGCAGGTAGAGGCAAGAGCCTGAAAGGCCAAGAATATGATACAGCTCTTTGATGACAAGAACAGCCACTACTTTTCCTGAGCTTCTCAGCAAGGCATTTGACCTACCCAAATTTGAGATTTTTTTTTTTCAGAACAACAAAATTTTCTTAAAAGAAAAAAAAAAAAAGCCATTTTCTTTGCATTCTGGTGTTACACACACAGACGTTACCTAGGCCTTAGGATATAATTGAAGATATTTTTGCAGTATTTTTCAAGTTCAGCAAATCTTTTGGCCCGGTAGGAATACTCTTACACCAGCTCAAAACAAAGAGTGCCCTACAAGCTTGTCTTTGAGCAGGAGAATTAATTTTTCTTTAGCTACAATGTCCTGGATTCTTTCAGGACAGCCCATTGCACATGCTGCACTGTATTCCTCCCCATAGCAGCATCTGGTTCAGGGCAATGTAACAAGCCCCAATCCTTTCCTTTCTCTGCGCTCCAGCTTTTGAGGTAAAAAAAACACTTTAAGGGGCCTCTGTTGAGCTTGGCCAACTGTTCTCTCCAAAAGGAGGGTACCGCAGGGTTTCCTTCAGTCAGAATTGATTAGTATAGCTGCAGAATATAAACAGTTTGCCTAGAGCTGTTAGCTAAACACTCAGAAGCAAAGCAGCAATAGGCTGGATTACTAGAGCTTGAAAAGGACCTGTTGGAGATAGAGGTATTCTTAGATATTAATTTAGAGGGTAGCTTTTTTTTTTTGTCTGCAGGAGAACCTAAAGCAAATTGAAAAGAATAGACTCCCTTCCACAGGCTCCTAGTTAGCACAAGAATTTTGCAGCACTTGGCTGAACTCGAAGCCTGAGGTGTGCCGCAGTTCCCCCCATTTGGCTGTTCCTCAGACACACGCAGGTCCATTCTGCTGTGGCTCTGGTGAGTCACACCCACCACACAAGTACCTGCTGCAGCAGGGAGAAATACTTACAGTGGCTTCTCTTGGATCGTTGCGAGTCACACACGGTAAAGACGGGTTTTGCATAGTTAGCAATGTCTTCTCATCCATGCTGTTTCTGCCAGCCAGGACTCCAGCAGTGTAAGTCTTTCTCAGGGCTCTGCAGTTGCCAAGAGGCATTGTCTTTGACTACGGCAGCTGGGGCTTGTGAGGCTGCTCGGCGTAGCTGTGTCCGTGGCTCAGCAGTGTCCTCATCTGCTGCAGACGCCACCAGGGAAGGCCCGGGCATGGCCCATGCCCTTCTCTGGCCATGTAACAATTTCCGTCCTCCGGCTAAGCAGGCAGGAGTAGCCAAGCTTGAGCTGTTTTGTGGCTTGTCTTGTTCTTACGACTGTGTGAATTTCACCTTGTCACAGAGTTCCGACTGTGTAAAAATATATAATTATGCCTCTGACTCATCTACTTGGACACACACCCCATTCACACACACCTACGCACGCAGCGTATGCTGCTGAGCTAGATGTGCTAACACATGTGAACACTACCATGGCTTCTACATTAAAAGTCTATTTTTTCCCTCCCCCAACACTATAAATAGTTCTAGATTAAAACTAAAATACACCTAGAAGCATTCAGTCCCCTCCTCCCTTCTTTTCTCTTATTGGGAGATGCTGTCTCTGGGACCAAGCTGCTTTTGGGTCACCAGCCACGTACCAGAGTCGCAGGCAGGGTAGCACTCAAAGCCCTCACCTCCTCTCTCTCTCTCCTCTCAGCCAGGACAAGCCAGCTTTCCGGGAACTGATCTCACAGCTGGAGCTGGATCCCAAGTGCAAAGGTCTGTCCTTTTCTTCCTTCCTGATTCTGCCGTTTCAAAGGATCACTCGGCTCAAGCTGCTGGTGCAGGTAGAGTTTTGCTTTTCTATCTCTCCCCAAGGTCTTCCGGATCACTCCCGGAATCTTCCTTTCCAGCAGTTGCAAGTAAGGCTTAGATACAGCCATGATCAGGACGCAAGGTGGAGGAATCAGACATTCTCAATAACTATTTCAGTCATTCAGAAACCATCCCCAAATTAGTGTTAAATTTGCCAGATAGCTTTTCCTTAGCAAAAGAGTTGAGGAGGAACTTTGTTGAGCTGCTAGAAGGAGTAGCAACAGTCCATCAATGCAGCTGCCTGATGGTTAGGATGCTGACATGCAGCTGCACGGTGCAGAACAGCTGCAGAACATGGAAATGCTCCGTGTGTAATACTCTACATAATGGTGGCTTGGACCAGACTATCAGCCATCTTCCCCCTGTGCTTTGCCAGCTTGCCTAAACACTGTGCTAAAAGACATACTTCTAGGGATGAGGAAACAGCTCAGTCCGATTGGTCTTATCCTGCTGGGATTACCAATAGCACTGTCTGTTAGTGCCAGCTCTAGCTATTTTTATTTATTCATTTATATTTATGAAATAGGAGTCTGCCTGCTATATTTCTTTTAGCTATAAGGTCAGATAGGAGCAGGTTTTAATGAAAAAGAGGAGCTAAGAGGTGAGAGTCACTGTACTCTGTCACCTATCCTGTAATTAGGCTGATGGCCAGAAATAACTCTGAGGCCAGCAAAGACTTTTCGGTGCTGTCAGGTTGGGATCAGAGTTAACACAGCCTTTCCTCCCCTGCAGAACATTTTGAAGAAAGTGGAAGAGAAGTCTGACAGGGAAACCACTGCCCTGGACGCACATAAAGAGCTGGAAACAGTAAGTTTGAATGAGCTAACTGAAGGCCATTAAGATGAAACCATCGTGCTCAGTTCCCCCTTCCAGAAAAGACCTATAAACTATATTCACTCCTGGAGCTGTCCGTTTGAATCCTGTCACTGTGTTTCAAGAGTAATTGTCTTTTCTTAAGTCTTCCTTGCTCTCAAAGATGGACTAATCTAGCAGCACTTAGATGTCAGTGATAAGGAATTCCTTGATAACAACAGATGTGTCTGTTTCCACTGTAGGAAAGGGCAGAGAGAATGTTTTCCCTTGGGGTCTTCACAAATACAAACTGTTTTTGCAGATACCTGAAGGTGATGGATCCCACTGAGACATGTAATTAGCTGCAACAGGCAGTAGAGTACAACTGTGTCAGGTTTCCTCCGGTACAGCACACTGCTGCCTCTGACCTAGAATAACAGTTTCTTAATGAAGTACTCAAGCCTGCTTTTAGCCCTCTTCCCTGAAGCTGGTGGGTAGGTGTGGTGTTCAGTTGTGCTAGTTACTGCTGTGTACAAAACACCAGGAAGGCATCGGGTGTTTTCCATCTGGGCTGTTCCTGACACAGTCAGACAGGGCGATCCCACCTCCTGGCTACATATCTGAATGATCTGGATGTGGCAGGCAGCTATGTGGGCTGGGATAGAGTGTTTGAACCCTTCTCCATCAGAAGCTTGGAAGATCTCTTGAATCCTGCAGATCAATATAAGTATTTGAAGTTGAAAACTGTGCTAGAACATTGACTTGAGGATACGGTTGCAGCTTCTGACTGAAATACTAGAACAAAATGGGCTCTTGGATTTGTCTTGAACTAGTCTAGGAGGCGTACACTTTGGAGATTGCTAGGGATAAAGACAGAGACCTTAGCAATGAAGAGTGTCTTGCATTAATATTTGCAGAATCCGTCATGATGTATCTGCTAAGCCAATTGTTTTTCCATTGGTCAAAAGCCTGAGGAAAACTGTTCCTGTAGTATGCAGATGACTGCAACTGTTGATGGAAAAAAGCTCTTTTTATATTCAGCTGTCAGTGACTCACGTGATCAATTTCATAACTCCCTTTGCATGGTTTCTTATCTGAAAATGTTTAAGTTTAGATGCCTATGCCCAGCTAGGTGCAGGCATCACAGCAGAGACCAGCTGGTGCTTATTTTCTTTATAGGTATCCTATTTGATAGGTAGGAGCTGATCACAGTTTCAGTTGCTGATGTTCTGATGGATTTTGAGTAGCAGAAACAGAGCACAAAGCAGAGCTTGTTCTCCAACGTAGTTTTTCTACCTAGCCAGTTCTCAAGAGAGTTGCTCCTTACGAAACAGGCAATGGCATCTAGGTTAAGGTCCCTGTAATAGGGTAGTGCCTGCACGTTGGTTGTGGTTTTTCAGTTAAAAGTTTGTACTCAGCACACAGTTGGGCTCTGTGTGATGAATGTCTCTTTCCACGGGACATTTCACAGCCTTGGCATCTGGTGGTGCTTGGCAGAACCACAGCTTTTGCATCTTTGAAATGAGGATCTTTGGCTTCATTCTCTTCTTGAAGATGATACTGCATGTGTACCTTTTTTCAAGGGTTGAGGACAAGAAAGGTGAGATACATGGAGTGTTAGGATCTGGCAAATGAGCTGTTCCCCTCGCTGTGCAACCAGGAGTGTTGCTTAATATTGTCTGGTTCAGTAACAATGCAGCCATTTAACATGTCCTCTGATAGTCAGTTTCCAGCTATAACATCTTCTGGGTGTTTGGGGTTTTTTGTCGTTGTTTTTTCTTTCTTTTTTTCTTTTCTTTGTCATGCGAATACAGCACAGATAGAAGAGCTTGGCTTGGTCAATTCCTGTTACGGCAGGGCACTTACCCTGTCACGGTCAGGCCTTTCTGTGCTGCCTGTCATCATTTACCTGATTAAGGCCAGTAGAAGCAAATCTTTCTACTCCTTTTTTTTCCAGGTGGTGAAAGCATGTAATGAAGGAGTCAGAAAGATGAGCCGAACAGAGCAGATGATCAGCATCCAGAAGAAATTGGAATTCAAGATCAAGGTATAAGCATAGGCTGGTAACCCTTTGCAGACAGCGAACCAATGGCATCCAGGTGGTGTGCGCACGTACATGGCAGCAGTAACCTGGTTGTGCTCCTTTTAGTGAGTGTTCTGTGGTGGCCTGGTCCACACTGTCCCCCTCCAAGGCCTTTGAAGAGCATGCTGCTGCTGCATCTGTGCGTGTTATCTCTGTGCACGGTTCTGCAGAGGCCGGGGGCAGCACTGAGGCCAACGTGTTGTGCACGTGCACAGATGCGACACACTGGCATCAAACCGCCTGCGCGCAGTGGGTGGCTCCTGCTCCAGCACTCAGTTCTGGCTCTTCCCTCTCACCTCTCCAAAATGCAGGTCAGCTTTCAGCTATTATTTTACATTACGAATGACATTAAAGGAAAACGAAAGCTACAAAGCAAAACACTTCAAAGCTGGAAAATACCAGAACGAAGCGTGTCCCACTATTTTAATTAATCCCTACATTTATGCATTACGTACAGTCTCTAATTACTTGCTGATGAACTATTTTAGCCCCACTCAGGGAATGACTGAATCGATATTTAGGGGTATCTGACCAGATCTCATTTAATGTATGCCATGAAACTCCAGCGCTGAGTGTAACGTTGCCAGTTCTTTTCTTGACTGCTACGGAGCAGTTCTTTTCTTGACTGCTACGGAGATGCTTCTCAGATCTGTCAGCTTCACAAACTTTAAGGAGGACATTTAAGCTTCCCAGCAACCTTTTTATGTACCTGGACGACTGAAGCAAAAAAATGTAGAGACCATTTGTTTGGAAAGCCACACTGGGCACCTGAGAATTTGCTTTTCCAGAGCACTTTATCAGTGTGTCAAGGCTAGACCACAGTCCACAGGACAGCAGTAGATTGGGGTAGCCACAAGACTGCCTTCATCTCTTGTAAAGCTGAGGCTGTGCTGGTAGGCAGGAACTGATTCATCCCTGGAGCAGGTCTGCCTTGGGCACTGGCGCAGGAAGGGTGCTCTGGTGAAAAACGTGCAAGACTGTGGAAAGAAAGATTGTGCCACCATGCACATGACAGACACAGGGAGGGAGCGAAGGTAGAAAGAGTTGCAGTTACGCAGATATTTTCCAATATTTCAGTCATTTGACTGGAAGTGTCGTGTTCTAATGTAAGATGCTCTTTGTTCTGGGCTTCTTGTTTATAACACAATGTACAGTAAAACTCTAGCAGAAGTGCTGTTGTGGCTGTGTGGGCAGTATCTTCTCCTGACTGGGACGGACCCACCCAGTGAGAACCCGTTTAACCTGTTTTTTTTGTAGCCAAAAGGCCAAATACACGTTTTTGAAAGTCAGTCTCCTTGGCCAGAAAGGCTCAGCCCAGGTGATGAGACAAGGGATCCCCCAGAGACAGATCAGGCAGTGCGGAGCGTAGCCTGGTGTTTAAATCCAGCACTTGGCACTCCAGCGTCATCATCCTTCAGTATTTGTTCATTCTCGGGCCCCTGCCATGTCCCCATCTGAGCTCTGTTACACTCTGTGCCTGGCTGCAGTGTGGATGGCAGAGCGCACTGCCCTCTCTGTCCAGCTCTGCTCCGTCCTCTGCAGTGCACGTTGTGGTGATGGGAGCTCACTACGCTTCCTTCTGCATCTCCTGTTGCTTTCAGCATCTTGACCACATAAGTCCATGGTTTTTTGCTGCTCTCCTGATCTTTGCCATCTTTTCCTCGCTTCTAGTCTGTGCCCATCATCTCTCACTCCCGCTGGCTGCTGAAACAGGGGGAACTGCAGCAAATGAATGGTCCAAAGACATCACGAACGCTTCGCACCAAGAAACTCTTCAGAGAAATCTACTTGTTCCTTTTCAATGATCTGCTGGTAATTTGCCGACAAATTCCTGGGTGAGTGCAAAATCCGGGTAGTACGTGGGGGCACTTCATTAGTCCTGTTTGCCCCTGGGTTTATCCAAGCTGTGATGCTGTGCCCCTGTCCTATCCCCGCGGCACAGTCCTGGCCTGGTCTGTACGCCCCCCTCCAGAGTCATCTTGCCTTTGAGGGCAGTTGACTCTTCATGGGTGGCACAGCTCTCTCCAGCTGAAAATTTACGGCAGACAGGACTTGAACAGATTCTAGGCCAGGTCTCCCAGCAGGGTAAGTGAGCAAGTGTCTACCAGTTTCTGCAGAGTGGCAGTGAGATACATCCACTGGTGGGCTGACTCAGGAGGCCCATCTTCCTGTCAAGAAGTGATTTTTTGACTCATCCCTGCCTGAAGAACAGCTCAGACTTGGTCAGTTAAACTTCTAAGAAAGCAGGCTAGAAAATTTGAGCAGCAGGGAGGAGTATAAATTTAGGCCTGAGGCTAGCAGTTGTATTTGACATGGTGTAACCTGCCTCAGGAGGAGCAGAATGTCATCGTGGTTAGTACTATGTCTTGTGCAACTAGACACCAGTGAAATATAGCAGCACAAACAGACAGGTCCCAGAGAACAGCGCGTTCTTTGTAGCATTAACTAGACTCACCGGTAGAGAGCATCTCACTAGTCCAACATTTCTAATAAACATGTCGCCGCAGTGTCTGTACGCCTGGAAATATTTTGCTTCTGCGGCAGCTTGTATCCAGAAAACACAGAAGCATTTTACAAATAGGAATGAATTAAGCCTCACAGTCCCCTTTGAGGGAGCGCTGTCTGTGTTTTGTACATGGGGAGCTCAGACAGAGCGAGCAACTTGTTCTAGGCCACGCAGGATGCCTGAGGCAGAGCAAGGAGAGGGTCTCCTGCTTTGCGGTGCGTTTTCATAGCCACCCGCTCATTCCTTCCCACAGCAGGGCATCTTCTGTCCTCCTGCCATGCAGAGGTTCCTAGTTTGTGTCCCCAGTTTAGTTCTGGGTGGCTGAAGCCAAAGTCTCCTGGGATAACTGCCATTTTCCCTACTCTTCTAATCTGTCCCAGGGACAAGTACCAAGTGTTCGACTCGGCTCCCCGGGGGCTTCTTCGAGTAGAGGAGTTAGAAGACCAAGGGCAGAGTTTGGCCAACGTCTTCATCTTGAGGCTGCTGGAGAATGCGGATGACCGGGAGGCCAGCTACATGCTGAAGGCATCATCCCAGTGAGTACAACAGTCACCCTGCCAGCGCTCAGCACTGCTTTCTCCCTACACCCCTGCAAGGGCAGCACCCTGCCTGCATGGGGACCAGCTCTCCGGGGTTACCAGGGTCAGGCAGGGGTCCCACTGCTGCAGCTGGGCTGGCCCTACAAACCTCTGCTCAGCGTCGCTCTCCCAAGTCCGCCTTCGGTCTCTCCTACTGAAAGACACTTGTGAAAATAGGCAGGTTTCTCTCCTGTACGATGTATTTGTAGCATCCGGGGTGGAAGATGAGTGGGTGCTTTGCATTCTGAGACAGAGAGGTCAGAAATCAGTCCCGGCACAGGAGTCTAACTGATTTACAGTCTGCAGCGTATTCAGAAAGTAAAAGCAAGTAGGATGTATGCTGAGCACACTCCAGTGGCTCAGCTGGCTCACTCGCAAAGATCAAGGCCACGTCTGATCAGCGCCGTGAAGCAAAGTGACTCCTGCTTGTAGGCAAAGGTAGAGAAGAGTCCTCTTCCTCAGCACCTTCCACAGCCGGTGCCAATCTTGTGCAGCCCTTCTGCGGCTCAGGGACTCCTTGTCTCCCTGGATACAGGTTTTTTTGGCTCACTGATTTTTCACTTCAGGCTCCAACAAGCTCAGACTGGGCAAATGATTCAGCTGTGCTAACACAGACCTGATTGTTTTGGAGCTCAGGGCACGGCTTTCTCATTGACCCAAGCCTTACCAGGCGCACGTTTTCTAGGCACAGCATCTGTACTATTATAGGTGTACGTGTACCACCAGCTAAACAGCTACCAGAGATGATGCGCAGCCCCAGCTCGATGTTACTTCGCTGTCAGTAGGCCAGTGTTCGACATCCATATCCCTTAGCAAAGACCAGCCCCAGCTGGGACCACATGCTGCTGCAGCCCTGGGGGCTGCACCCTGAGCCCCCCCAGCACGGTGCAGCTCCAGCATCAGGAAGACGAGCCCCCTGCACGGCAAGCAACTGCACCTTCTCCCCAGACATGTGACTGCAGCTTTGCTGTACTGAAAATAGAGATGTCAGTCACGTTATGCAGGGCAAACGCACATTTGACGTCTGTGAGACTGAGCGGTGCAGAGAACAATAAACCAGGCCAGGGTTTGCCTCAGCTCAGGGGAGGCAATTGCAGTTCTGTGCTTCTGCAGCCTGTCGCATCTTCTAGATGGCCGGAGAGAGCGTGTGATCCAGCACACGGCTTGCCAACAGGTCTTACGCACTGAGATGTGATGTAGCAACTGCGGAAGGCTGCTCTTCCAGAGCTGCAGGGATGATCGGGGCAGTACCGGGCACAAACTGGAAAATTGAAGAATTAGAAGAGCTAAGTGGGTGCCAAACAGACTGGTGCATGTGTTCCACAGCACTTGCGGCATTTCCCAGCTCTGAACCCATACAGCAGTGAGGACCTGCTTGGTGGCAGCTTGCAACTAATGCCCTGGGTGGGCTCCGCCGGGAGCTGGCAGTACATTTGGACATAGCTGGTCACAGGGGCAGGACTGGAGGGGGAGGTGGGGGGGGGGGCCTTACAGACTGAGAGGAGCTGGGGGCTGCGGGCAGGATCCAAAGAGCCCTGCAAGGAGCTGTGTGCAAGGCCAGCCTGCAGATAGGCCCACAAGCATGGTACAACCTTTGATTTGATCTCTCTGTCAACCCCTCAGTGCACAGGGCCCTCATCTGCACATCTTCATGGCATGAGGGGCTGCACTCGACCTGCAGCTGCAGTTGTTTTTCACTGGTCCTTGGCATCATGCTTCAGCCCTGAAGCACAAGGTATTCCCAGCCCTACAGATCAGCCTGCCAGCACTCGTCCTTCACATCTCCCTTTTAGGCCTCTCTCCTCCCAGAAGAGACTCTGGTGGCTTTAGATGTGTGTCAAGTTCACGCTTTAAACTACCATCTGAGAAGGTAGAAAGTTCTGGCTCCCTTGGGGCCGGGAGTACAGCTGCTCCTCCAGGCAGGAGCTGGAGCCTGTGAAGATGAACTGCCCCGTTTCCAAGCGGGGCTGAAGGAAGCCTCAAGGGAGCACCAGGCCTGGGGCTTCTCCAGCGCCTGTGAGATCTTCACCCTCCTGCTGCAGGCCCAGGTTTTGCATAACAGCATGCTGGATCTGGCAGCATGTTCACACAGGTCTGTTGTCTCATCCGCTGCCAAGCGAGCGGTACCCTTGGTATGCCGCAGCGTTCATCTGCAAGTGAATTAATCAGCTCTGCCCTTTAAACGTTCCTGCATAGCAGCTGCGGGAATAAACGGTTCCTCTAACTGCTTTTCTGCAGGAAGAACTTCTCTTGTTGACCCAGCTGAGCCAGGAGCTGCTTGTGGTGGTTAGAGCTCAGGGGGTGCCAGGCCCCCCACCCTGCTGCTGGCTCTCTGAAGCTGTGCTGCTCCCCAAAGAGGGATGCTGCTGGGTGTGGGGACAGCCTGGGGGCCCTGCGGCAAGCCAGGCCTATGTGGCAGGGCCCAGGGCACTGTGGCACGTGACATCCCAACCGGTGCGTGCAAGAGGGGAGCTCAGCATCACCAGTGAGTCCAGGACCCCAGGGGGGCAGGCAAGAAAGGGCTGCGAGAAGAGGAATTAAAAGGCCAGAGCTAGCTGGGCAGGAGAGCTGGGGTCCCTATGACTGTTGCATGCTCACGACCTCGGTTTGTCTCCCCTATCCAGGAGTGAAATGAAGCGCTGGATGATTTCACTGGCCCCAAACCGGAGAACCAAGTTCGTTTCGTTTACATCCAGACTTGTTGGTAAGAGACACAGCATGGGAGCCAGGAGCTCTTCACCCCTATCCCAGAGTACCTTCTTCCACCCTGACTCTTAGTCCAGCCCCAGGCCTGGGGCCTCTGCCAAACCCTCTCCCTGGGCTCCCCTTGTGTTTCCACCATCAATACCCACTTATCCCTGGGCCTGGCCTTCAGTTTGCTCCCCTCCAGCCTGGGCTGGGCTGCACCAGCACTCTCCCTCCCACCCAAGCTGCTCATGGGGTGGCACTGCGGTGGTGGTGTGCACCCAGCTCTCTTCCCCCCAGAGACGCTCCCTGGGTCCCTGTGGCCGGGGCACCCCTTGGCCTCTGCGGGGTTTCTTACTGGGTCAGAGCTCACGGTGCTGTGCTCACCTGAGCTGTGCTGTCCTGCAGCGGGTTGTGTCCCAGTCCATCCCACACTCTCACCCTATTCCCCTGCAGACTGTCCACAGATCCAGTGCGTCCACCCGTACGTGGCCCAGCAGCCGGATGAGCTGTCCTTGGAACTGGCTGACGTCCTCAACATCCTGGACAAGACAGACGACGGTACGAGGGACGGGTCGGGGCTGTGCCGGGAGTCCCTGTGTAAGGGTGGGCAACGCTGTAGGAGAGGTGACTGTTGAGCAGACAAGAGGGGTCCTCCTGCCAGGGAGAGACCCTGGCATTGGCTTCACAGCCAACAGAGCTACGGCCTCCTCCTAAAATTCAGCAAATCCAGGCTTCCCTGAGCTATGGCAGGGCTGGCAGAGACACCCCAGGTGTAACCTAGAGCTGTTCTTACCTTGATGATGCTTCAGAGCCACCCGGTGTGGTCTCTGGGGCACACTTGTAGCTGGTGAACTCAGTCCCATTGGGTCTCTGCTGTGTAGCTGTAGCATCAGGGGCAGCAGAGAGCACTCAGTGGCAGCAGTGCCTGCTTTCTGCTGGCATCCCTTGAGCCAGTTGTCCAAACACAGTGCTGCTCAGGCGAGCGGGGCTCCTTGGCTGGAGCTAAAAACTGGGTCCGCTCCAGCACAGGCCTCTGAGCAGCTTCCAGAAAGCACTGCCAGCTCCGTACTCTTTCCAGCACAACTGTCCCGGTGCAGGAGCAAGGGCCAGTCCTTCCCCATTTACACCTGTCTCTGTCTCTGCTCAGGCTGGATATTTGGGGAGCGTCTTCACGACCAGGAGAGGGGCTGGTTCCCCAGTTCTATGGGGGAGGAGATCCTGAACCCCAAAATCCGAGCCCAGAACTTGAAGGAGTGTTTCCGAGTGCACAAGTCAGATGACAGTCAGCGGAGGAAACTGGGCAGCAGAAACCGCCAATGACTGCTGTCGTCCCCAAGTGTCTGGAGTGCCTCTGGGAGAGGGGCAGAGGACAGAGGCTGCCAGCTGGGAGGATGTGGCGGTGATGCCGTGGGCTGTGGTGCAGGACCTGGCGTGCCAGACCAGGCACATGCACCCCTGAACAAACAGACTGTAGTTCCTGGGCTCCCTGCCGCACTTCCCGCAGCACTAATCCTTCCCTGGAGATCAGTGCTTCGAACTGGCTAAAATAACACCTTTCCAGGTATTCTGTAAAGCCCCAAAGAGCACGAGCCAAACGGACACAGCCCAAAGGCCACCGGGTGCCGGCTAGCTGACCCCCGTTTCCTGCGCACATGGTAGCTGGGGCTGGGACCGGCCGCTTGGGAAATGCCCCTGGCCACAAATGTAACTAAGCAATTAATGTCGCCTGGTTTGAGCCCTTACAGCTCATCGCTACCTTTTGAGTTTGGGGCTCTCCCGAAACTGTTACAGTTTCTACCCCTGTAAGATGCAGAGGAGCTGTCTCGCCACCTCTTACGCAGCCTGTTGGCGCCAGGCTAGGACAAGCCCCAGGAACTCCACCTCCCCAGTTCTGCTGTGAAGCTCGCGGGCCCATTCCCACCGGCAGACCCTCTATCTGCTTCCACTCAAAGGGTCCAAAATGCTCCATGCCCAGCCCCACTCCACCACCAGCCCTGACCCCCGTCTCTGCCTGCCTGATGGCACATCTGGGCTGTGCCCCATGGCTCACCCCCTCTTCCACAGCCTGCATCCCTCCGCAGAGCCGCTGCAGAAGCCTGGTACCACAGCCTCTCCCGGTTGATGCGGCACTCAGTCTCCGCTACTCACTGTTGCCAAGGCACAGAGCAGGGTGGCTGTGGCAGTGCCTCCCCGCACACCACCACGTACCACGGGAGCACCAGCAGACCCCAGCTGCCACGCAGCAGGACAGTGACGTTACCCCAGGAGCTGTTGTCCCGCAATCGCTGCCTGCATGCTTGTAACCCACACCACCCAGCTGCACGCACAACCTGTGTGCGCAAAACCCCTGTACAGGCTCACCTCTGTGTATATATGCAAGTCCTCCGTCACCAGCAGAGACGGATCATCACTTCCTTCCAGCTGTGGCACTGAGCGTCGCATGAAGCCCAGAGCACAGCAGTGAGACCGACCAGGGGACAGACCCACGGCAGCTGCCTGTTGTTCAACTGCCTTGCTCTGAACAGTCCCACACGTGGCCACAGCCGAGGGCTTCTTAGCCACAGGCTGTTGCTGACCTGCAGCCAGCGTCCATCAGAGAAATCAATTATTTGGCATCATTCCGTAACACTGCAATGGAGAGTCTTCCAGGCGCCGTGGGCTGCGCTGCTGTATGCTCCAGCGGTGCGACGGGGATGGAGAGGAGCCGCCTGCCGACGGAGCCACGCACGGAGTAGTGGAGCGCGGCCACGCTGGTGGCAGCATGGGGTGGAAGCAGGACACCATGGAGCCGCTGGAGGGGGGCTCTGGGGCTGGTCTTTGGGCCATGTGGGGCCCAGGTTACACGTGCGGTATGTGGCATGAGGCCAGACCCAGCTGAGGGAGGGATGGGGCTGTCCGTACCGTCACTGCACCCCTGGGACAACCAGCCCAGAGTCAGCCCTGCACTGGTGAGGCTGCAGCCAGCTCCCAGGGCCAAACTGGTGGGAGCTGCAGCAGTGAAGGGAGAGTGAAGGTGTTCCGCCCTCAGGCCCAGCTCAGTGCCACCATGTTAGTACGTGACAACAGCCAGCAGGGCTGTGCCTGCCCCGGCCACCCATAGCTCACCAGGGAGAGGGCTTCTGGGCAGCTCACACCGGCCAGAGCCTCCCAGCAAGCTGCCGGGGCCCAGCCCAGAGCTGGGGGCCAGGAAGGGAGCACAGCCTCCAATCTGATACATTAGGCTCATTTAACAGGAACATCCCAAGTCAGGCTCCCCCTAAGAGCACCCCACAATCAACTTTGAATCCAACCAAACCTCCAGCTCAGGGTCCAGACCTTGCAGCAGCCACAAGTTGTCTAATGCAAAGCCCAGAGGGGCTCCAGCTCTAGAAAGTCTTTACAATTGCCTGAGAAATCACCATATCCCAAATTCTCCAGCTTCGCAGCCCAGCAGCCAGCCCAGCCTGGGCACTACAGCCCCACACGCCCACCTGGGATGTTTCTCATAGCACAGAAGCGCTCCTTTACCCATCAGAAACAGCTCCTTCACTAGTGGAGGGGCTGACCCAGGTTCCCCAGTGCCAGGACGCCGGTTCCTCACTGCATTTCTCCAGGGGAGAGGGACTCAGGGCTGCCGGGCACTGTCCCACAACCCACCGCCAAGCCCTGGGACTCGCTCTGGCCCTTCTTGCTGTGTTGTGACTTTTCAGGACTCCGCACCCTAGGCACAGGCTGTGCCGTTTTCAGGCACCAAGTGACATCCAGTGTTATTTCCTCAGACCCAGCCCTGCACGCCTCCGTTTCAGTGGTCTCCAGTGTTGTTCAGGGCCAGGCCTGGGGCCCACAAGCACGGGCTGGAGCCCCCTCGGCCCGCCCCAGCGAACTGAGGGGAACTTCTCGTTGTCTCGTTTTTCCGTGTGATGAAATATAGCTGAGCGAGCCAGCGCCAAAGCAACACGCGTGCGTCTTCTTCCTCCCTCCCGCACCGACTGCTCGCCTCCTCACCAGTCCCCTCCAGTGTGACTGGTGGGGGGCAACTGGCCCAAATGCAGGGGATGGAAGTGGGGTGAGACTAGGCAAGTGTGACACCAACTGAACAACCTGTGCAAGGTTGATGCCCGTGTTGGGGCACTCAGGCTAGACCAAGAGCCCAAAGCCACTCATGGCCACAGGTCCCTCCTGACTGGGGGGAAGTGACACTGCCTGCTGCGGTCGAGTCTGCCAGGTCTGCGTGCACCCAGGAGATGCGCACGCTAAGAGCAAAGAGCACTTTGGGGTGCAGCTTTGCTGCCCAGCGCAGAGGCCGGGGTGCCCTTCGCCACATCCGCGGCAGCATTTGTCCCCAGGGGGCCCCAGGGAGAGGGGGAGCGGGAGGAGTTGAGGGCAGGAGACGGGCTGGTCGTTACAGAAAAATCTTTTATTGAGTTCAGGAGGCAGAGAACTTTCTCAGCGTGATGACAACCAAGGCCACAAGCACAGACGTACCCAGGAGGGAGGCGATGACAATGGCACCGATAGCTCCAGGCCCCAGCGAGCCTGCAGGGACAGAGAACAAGGTAGCAAGAGGTCAGCAGAGCCGGTGGGTCCCATAACGGGGAGGGCTATGGGGGATCACCCCCGCACCCAGCACAGCCCCAGCCATCGGGCCACACTCCTGCTACTGGCGATGGTGGCCCTCTCCCCATGTAGCCGAGGTGTGGTCCTGTGCCCCAGCAGCACTGTGCCCTTGGGCAGGGGGCTGGAGCCAGCCACTCGCCCCGTAGCCAGCTCCCGGTGACAGGGACGGCTGCCATAAAGCGGGTCTTTGGCCCTCAGCTTTCCTGTTAAACACCCACACCGAGAGAGTTGCTTTGCTTGTTGCAGAGCCACATCACAACAGGCGTCTGCTGTAGTTCAGGAGCCAGGAAAGGTGCTCGCGCTCCCTGTTTGAAGAGTTTCGGACACATTCTTGCCCTGGAGCCTACCTGGGCTTGAGGCACATCTTGCTGGTGCCTGCTGTGATGTGTCAGACCTGGGGCAGGAGGAAAGGCCTCAGCAGCTCCCCTCTCGCCCCCCCAGCAGCGTGGCTTGGGACAGGCCACCTCTAGTGGCTCAAACACCTCCTGGGAGGTGATAGGGCTCTAAAGAACAACTCCGCAGCAAGGACGTCCCGAGCTGCTGTAGGAGCGACCCACAGGCAGTGCCCATTGCGCAGCCACATACCGTCCCCGGCGTCCAGCCGGTGCAGGTGGGTGGTGTCCTCGGGCTCCAGCTCGGAGGTGTACGGGGGGAAGGCGGTGGCATCTGAGAGCCGGGCTGTGGTGGTGTCGAAGGGGCCAGCTCCAGAGGGCAGCTCGGGTGGCTCGTTCCAGAGGGTGGGGACCGGGCCCTGCGGGTACTCTGCTGGGAGAGAAGCACCCACCATCACTCACGGGCATGGGTGGCCCCGGCCAGACTGCTGGTGACAACAGCGGCTCGGGACAGAGGCACCTCAGCAGGGCCCTGGGCTCCAGCCGCCTGCTGAGTGCCCCCGGGTGGATGGAGGGTGACCTGGTGGGGCAGAGCCCTCCTCCAGGAGGGCACCACCTCCGCACAGCACCAACACCCAGAGCAGCCAAAGGCAATGCCCACACCCTGGGGTGAAACCACACTGCTACCAGCTTTTGTGGCAACCTGCTGTACACGCGGGACAATAGGGAGCAGCCCGCAACCAACTTCTGCTCGTGCACAAACAGGCCCTGCATGAACATCTACAGCCAGTTTGCTCATGGATGCCCATGGGACTGGGCTGGGAGTGGCTGTCACATTCCCGCAACAGGCAGAGGCCACCTGTGCTGGCCACACACACAGCATCTCAGGGCCCTTCCGTCCTGCACCACCAGCCTACGCAGCGTAGGATGCCAGAGGCGCTGGCACTGCGCAGGACACTGCTCCCTGAGATAGGAGCCCCCAGAGCCTCAACTTCCCTCTGAGCCACCTCCACGCCATGCCGGGGAGATGAAAGCCGGGCCGGGCTCTGTTTGATGTTACCATTCACCTCCTGTTAGTTCCTCTCGCTGTGGGGTCAGGGACGGAACCAGAGAGCCCTCCCTGTCTGTGTGTGGCTGAGCCGAGCGCTCCCTGTCAATGCCCGTCTTGTTCAGGTGGGCCCTGGCGGGAGTGGGAGACATTCCACAGCTCCCTGCTGAAACCGCTGGGAATGTGGCAGTGGGATGGGGAAAAAAAAAAAAAAAAAAGGCAGGGGGAAAAGAAAGAACAGCATCCAACCTGAACCGACATGATGGTTATTTGGGCTGGGAAAGAGGGCAGGGGAGCCGGAGCCAGCAGCCTGGGCTCCCTGGGGCAAGGCACAGAGGTATCCCCGGGCACCCCGGCTCCGGCACACTGTCCCTCACTCCACCAGGGACACTCAAAGACTTGTCCCAGGCTCTCCCTGACCCAGCAAGAGAGGAGGCAGCAGCACATCTTGGCAGCGCCAACCCCAGACTGATGTACCTGGAGCCCTCCTTGCCCCCCCGTGGGCAGCTGGCACTTTGTGGGAGAAGAGCGAGCTGAAGAATCAGCCCTAATGTGCTCCACCACACTTTGTTCTCCCGTAAGAGCCCTGCATCCAAAAGACCAGGAGGACAAACACCAAAATGCTCACCTTTGCTGCCTGTACAAACCTACAAACCATCGAAGAGTAGCTCCCACCATCCCCAGAGCTATAGGAGGCTGCCTGCAGACTCGGGAACACAACAGGGTTCTAGACTAGTTTTGGAAAGTCCTTTCTACAGCCATAAAAGCTACAGGATTTTCAGCGAGACAGCTGCCAGGTTTAACTCTGGCCCAACGAGCAATGACAGAGAGAAGTAAGCCCCCAGTTTGAGTCCTGTGCCAGTTAAGCCTGGCAGCGACACCAGCACGCTCGGGCTGGCTGACCCACCCGGGGAGCAGCAGTGAATGCCACGTCCTCACGTGCTCGGTACGTCTGTGGTCACTGCATCAGAGGTGGCATCTCAGGTCCCTGGTACGAGCCCACAAGTGGTTTGTGCTCCACGACAGCTCCCCAGAAACATCCCAGCCCTTTGCAGAGCCCTTCCCAACCTGTCCTGCAAAACCAACAGCAGAGCTGCAGACTCCCATCCACGGGCTCTTCCAGAAAGTGCCATTTCCAGTGGACCTCTCTTCTATAAATCCTGTGGTTTGACTACCAGAGGACAGATCAGGAGGAAATACATAATTTAGTGGGTAAATATAATTAAAACAACAGGGAAAGGAACCGAGCAGAGCTGGGCTATTTAGTTAGCAATGGTGGCATTAGGAAGCTGTTGGTTTAGGCACAAACAAAACGTATGTAACACTTTTGAAGCCCCGGTTCCAGGCCGCTTTGGCAAGTGGAGAAACTCCAGCTACGACCTTCCTGACTGTGTCAACACCAGCAAGGCCAGCACCAACACTGCAGCCCTTCCCATCTGGCAAGAGAACGCCGCGCTGGGAGGACGTCATTGTTGCATTTCCCAAGAATGTTTTTCTCTCCAAAGCCAAGCGAGCTGGGTGTACCCCTCGCATCTGACCGGGGGAAAAGGCTCAGATGATGCAGGCACCGTCCAGGGAGGCTGTAGGACCTGGACAGGGTCTTCCAGCTCCCCGTTGTCAAACGGACGAGGAGGGAGCGTTACCCCTTCCAACTGTAGCGCAAAGGCTCTTTTTCTAACCAGACCCACAGGTTCCAGAAAGCCTCTCCCATCCCCAGCACCTCTAATTCCTGAAAAATTTATTGCAGCTCGCTTAAAGCAGGGCACAGAGCTTATTTTTGACAGCCAAATAGAGAGGAAACTGTCTAATTTGTTTATGATATCGGTGATTTTTTTTAAGACCTGGACAGAGTCCTGGATGGCTTCTGGATATGTATTTTGTTAATTCCCCTCATCTGATTAAAACATGTTTTCAGTTCACCCTCACAGAAGGGGCAGAGTGTGCTAAACATGAGTTTTCTGTCCCGAGTCTTTGCGGTTTTACCTTAACGGCGCTTCAACCAAGGGAAACACAACTCCTTTCAGTCGGGTTTAGTGCCTCTCTAACAGGAGATGTCAGCTCAGAAGCAGCAGCAGAGTCGTGCACATGCATAAAGTGAAATACCTGCGCCTTAACATCAAGAGCCGGGGCTTACCACTGGGTCTCCTCTTCGGTTCCTGCACCTCGATGCTGCTAGAGCCGACGCCGAGAGCCCTGCAGCAGGCACACGGGGTAGGGGAACGCAAAACCCAGCGCAAGCCCCATCCCCAGAGGAAGCTGCCAGCCGGCAGGTCTCTCCGGAGCACACCGCCGCAGCCCGGGAGAGCGCCCCTTTGTAACCAGCACTTCTCTTTCCAAAGACTCACCTTTGATTTTGCCTCCCAAACTAACAGCTCCGTGTCCTCGCATGCTGCCATTCCCACCCCTTTGAGAAGAAGCCCAACCACCCATCCAGCCATCCCCACGCATCTGTCCGGTTTTTTCAACAACCGGAGAAGTCACCCCTGCTCCCCTCCGCAGCAGCCCGACAGTCCCGGCGAGTGTCGGCCACGCTGCCGCTGGCTGAGGGCGGCAGAACTCCGATGGAGCAGCATCAAATGCCACGCTCCTGTTTCAGTCCTACAGTAAAAGCCAGGAAGGCGAAGGGGAAGGACAGAGCTTGCGTCAGGCACCAAAACCCAACACAAACACACACTATTAATAAGGTGTGCCCCTATCCAAGCGAGACACGAGGGCCTCTTTCAGTCGCCTGTTGGATACACTCTGATGGGACAGGCTGGAAGCACAGGCGTGGAACCCGGTTCAGGAGGATTTCTCTGCTCTGCTGCTGATGTTTTGTGTGACTGTCACATGTCAGTCCTCCTGGGCTCAATTTCTCTGTGCACGAGCAGGAGTCCAGGACTCTAAATATGCTCTACAAGAGAAGAAGCACCAGAGCGGGCAGGCCTGCCCACCTGCACGGGTATCGTCATCCTGACTGCGATACGGATGACGCAGTCTGTGCGCCTGAACGAACGCCTCCGAGTGACAGCTCCAGACCCGGTGGCAGCTCTTCACAAGGAAAGGCCAAGTTACATGGGACCTGCGAGGCCTCGGGGCAGGGCACAGCGTTTTTCACTCGTGCAAAAAACCCAAACACATTGCAGTCGTAAGTGGGGGGTGCAATCGAGGATTGGAAGCCAAGGTGGCGCATGGCTTTTCCTGTTCACCCGAGAACTTTGTAGAAATAAAGAACTACCAAGAAACAAGCTCAAAACACATCATCCATCGCAAGACCAGATGTTTAACATCTGGGGGAGAGCGCCACGCATGAGCTGTACTGCCATCAGTCTTAGGACCTGTCCTATCTCTAAGAAAACCCGCCTGGTGCACTTGCATGGTTGGTATGCCCCAGAGCAGCTCAGCAGATGGGCACATGGAGGGGGCCACCAGGCTGCTGACACACACAGGTAACCCCACCACTGCCCAGGCTTCGTGCCTCAGTGCTGCCTGCTCTGAAGGCAGAGAAACCTCGACCCCATGGCACAAACGAGCTCGCCCCCAGCATTAACCCTGTCTCAGCACTGCGGCACGGACCGAGGGCAACTGTTGCTCCACAGGCGACCAGTGACACCCACATGGTAAAAATACAGATTGAGAGCACATAAGAGAAAGATACGGAGTAATCTTAGTTATTAGGGTTCTACCGGGCAGAGGTGGAACCCAGGAAAATAAAGTGGACTAAAAGTATTCCAGTGTTTTGCAACAGCCAGGTGGAGGAGGGCACCTCTTCCTTCCCACGTTTTGACACTAAAAATTGCTTTATTTCAGGGAATTCTCTCTACTGCAGTGCGTCTTCTCCCTCTCTACAGCACAGGTTGGCTACAGCTGAGGCCAGGGAAGAAAATATCAGAGTTACCGGACTATAAAGAAATACACTGTGAGTTTTCGGAATAATGTAGGGACCCCGCAGGACTTCAGCTACATGGACCATGGTGAGATCTAGAAGGGATGACACCAAAGGCAACTTGACAAAACCGCTGTTTCCATGCTCAGCGAGAAGGAACCTCTCCACAGGCAGACTGCAAGACCTCAAGGCAGGCAGATGTGGCGACCTAACATCTTTATCCCTGGAGATCGCTCACCAGTGAGCAATACCCTTCCTCATACAAGCTTGAGGTTTCAGCCCCTCATCATCCTCACTCTCCACCTCCAACCCAGCAGCCTTAGTCAGGAGCTGATACTACTGTCAGTAATTTGTAAGGAGTAATAGTGCAGAGCACAGTTGAGTAATGGTCTACAAAGACTTGCTGTAAGACTGGATGAACCCGTTGGAACAACCGCATCTTTTTAAGATTTTGCCTGACAAAACCTATTCGCTACTTCTCACATTCCAACACTTGAACTTTAAAGACTTCCTAACAATCTTTTATTCTCCTGTTGTTGAGCATGAAGACCCACAAGTTGCTACAGAAAGATGTTTTTGGACAAGGTCTTCTCCTATGTTTTCCTTTAGCACATCATCTCCTGGTCTGTTGCTTTCCCCCCCCATACACATTCTGATGCGCTACTGCAGTATTTCCACATTAGCTCAAAACAGGGGAATTCATGAGCCCACATCAGAGTGTAGATACCAAATAAATACATGATGCAGAAGCCAAAGCCTTGCAAAGGCTTTTTACTAACTTCTACTTCACTGGGAGCTCTGAATCCATTATATGATTTGAAACTGGTTTTGCTGATAGGAAAAAAAGTAAAATCCAACTCTTGACGATCCTCCTGTGCTCTGGGCATAAGTGCCACTTGGGTTTGGAGAAAGCAAAGAAGATTTGGGTGTGTAGAAAGCCCTCGAACTGGCTCTGTTTCCTGTTGCACCTAGACGACGTGGACAAAGAGGGTTAAAGACTCGGTCAGTTGTTTCCCCATCTTTGACAAATGGGATACTGGAAAGAGCTCGGGAACTCGGGAGCAGAAATTCACAGTTTCTCCAGTCGCAGAGCCCTGACCACTCTGTCCAGGAAACCAGACTGGCTGGGCAAGAAGCCAGATCACGGTCCACAACCCATTGGCACCCCAAAAGCGTTCTGAGTGCTACGTCCAGATGGGAACCTCAACTGCCAGCGAGATCCTTCACATCTCACTGAACTCCTGAGCACTTACCCGGGGGTTTTGGTACTAGGTAGCTCTGAGTCACCACCGAGATAAAATTAAATCCAGCAAGGAGGGGAAGACTCGTTCGGGACCTCGGGTGTGCACGGCCGGCATCACTTCAGCCCCGTCCGAGGCAGACTCCGCTTCTGCCCACCACGGAGGGCTTTGCTACGGGAAGTACGAGGTGCTGAGACGGGAGGGCAGGGGCTGGGTGAACCCTGAGGCCAGCAACGGGCTGTCCAGCCCCAGGTAGTCACAGCGGGCACAGGGCCAGCGCAGGGATGAAAAGAGGCCTTCATTGGGAGCACAAAGGGCAGCCTGTGATGTGCGAGCGCCGGGAGCTCCAGCGTGGAGCAGCGCGGAACGCTGCGGTTCTGATGAATGTTAAATAAACTTGTTTACAGAAAGGCAGGGCTGCATGTGTACGCGCGGAGACCAGAGGGCTGCCTGTGCGCCCTTCCCTTCTTTGTCTGCACAAGGCAGGAAATTTCCTTTTCTAATGGGGTGAAAAGCAGAAAAAATTCCACTGTGCACTAAAAGCTCCTGTACTGGGGGGAGCCACCTCTCCACCTCTAACGCAGCAGAAAATAGTTCTGTTCCTGGGAAGGGTTACCATACAGGCTGGTTCCCTCATGTCCTGCTTTGAGGTAGCAGAGAAGAACAAACTCCTTAAGAGGCCTCGAGCCTCTAAAATGGAGTCTCTCCTGCGCCCCAGGATCCAAATGTTGCGTTCATCAGCACAAAGCTCTTCGAGAGCCGCTGGCCTCGCTGCGCGAGTGCAACTCACCCAGTAAAGGGATAAAGTGAACTCGGGGTATTTCACAGGAGCAAAGCGACACAGGGAGGCAGCGACAGGTACAAACCAAAGCTGCAACGCCGAGCCGAGAGCTCCGGAAAGCTGGCAAGGCAGGGGACGGAGCAAATACGCATCCAGTATTGGAAACTTAAAGTAGAAAGAAAGTTAAAAGAAATCCTAGCTCATAGAGGAAGCAGATCGATTTTTCACTGGAAAGTAATCGGTTTCTGCAGAGTGAAATACTCTTAACAGTTAAGAAGAGACCTTACCTGGTTTTGGGGAAGAGCACTGCCACTGCTTCTGGGAGCGTGAGCAAGCTACAAACTGAAACTGTGCTTAAGTGATTAATGTTCCACTATACAAAAAAAAAAAAATAAATAAAATCAAATCTCAGGGTTTGAGAAGGAAAACATCCACTTTTTAGTGCTCATTTCTTAGTTTCTTTAAAGGTTTCCCAGCAAGGTGTCTTGCAAGGGAAGGATCTGTGGGGGAAATACCAGCTACAGTAATTCTGTTCTTGCACCCACAGATGTTCCAGCTAGGCACAGCGATAAATTCCCCTACCCCTATGAAAGCTCCTTTAAAAAGAAATAATTTCATCTGCTAGAAGGCTGGCCAGGATCTCCCTGCTAGGCAAGATGCTCAGAACAAACTGGGAAGGAACTGTGATCCAGCCTTGCTCCAGGTCTTGGAAGGCAGGACAAGAATTTAGGAAAACAAGCGCTGTGCTCCTGCCTGTTATCTTGGCCTGAGCCATCCCTCCGCAGCCTCGCCCGCGCTTACAGAAAGAGGCTTCAAGGGACGCCGTTCCCCGTAGGAGTTTCCACCTGCACGCTCAGAGCCCCTCTATGGAGTCGGTCTGGAAGTCAGTTCTCCCTCATTTGTAAAACCCGCCCGAGACCAGGCAGCCTCTGAGCTGACGGCGCACTCGGCTCCCCTCAGCCCGCGTAGCTGTGCTGAAAGCGGGAGCAGATAAGGCTGAAATTACTCACCACCTCCTTAAAAACCAGCGCCTCACGGAATAGGTGTCTCACGCCGACCATTCCCATCACCTCGCTGGACGCGAGTGGCAGCCACGTACCGTCCCAGCGCTGCCGCCGGCCTCGGGGCACCCAGCTCCAGACGGGAACTCAGGGAGTTCGGCTGCACACCTCAGCTTTCGCCTGAGCTAAACGTTTCCATAGACACTCCTCATAGTTCTACTTAGAGCAGCTGTGGCGAAGTGCTCTGCTGCAGCAGAAAGCGTAGAAGGAACCAGAAACTGGGACACGGGCTTCAGCCAGAGAAAAGTGTTTCTTTTCATGATTGTAGCTTCTTCCTACCGTTAAAAGCTGACGGATAACCTGTCCCATCAGCTGCTGAGGGCACCGCATCTACTCTTGGCTGATCCGACTACTCGTCTACTGTCACTAATGCTCACGGAGGCACTACTGCTGTCTGGCTTGGAGAAATTACAAAGTATTTTCCCCATTTTCCCCAATCGAATCCTGGTCTCAAGACGGAGAATATATTCTTACCAACAGCCACCAATTCCAAAGCGGCTTTCCCATTACTCAATTATAATTCAGTAAATACGGATGTTTTTAGGGGAAGGAGAGGAGGTATGCAGGGAGAGGAGACAGAGGCAGGTTAGTAAAAGACCTCTCGTGCTTTTGGGCTTTAAATGCAAACAAAGCTCCTTACCTGCCAGCACAGCAGGGACCAGGATGCCGCACAGCGTTAGCAGGACCAGGCGAAGGACTCTGTGGTAGGGCATGGCTTCCCTCAGGAAAAGCATCGGCAGGAATTCTTAAAACTCTTCGAAACAACTTGGAAACGTCACTGGTATAGTAAAAACTTTGTCCAGTCAGGTTAAAAAAAAATAAAATAAAATAAATTTTCTTCACAACAGCAAGTGGATAGAAAGAGTGCAAAGCCCAGCAGAGACTCTCTCTCTCTGACTTGCAGAGCACACCTCCTCCTGAAGGCAGCTCCACCCTCTAAAATTTGTGCCGAAAACCCCATAGGCAGCCGAGCCGTTAGGCATCCGTCACCCTGCCAGGCCAGCGCACACACGAGCGGTTGTTGGCGAGCCCTTCCCAGAGGACGCGGGGATGCTCCTGGAATGCCTTCCCTCCGGCCGGCCATCCCGCAGCACGGGAAATAACACAGGGGCCATTGGGACAGCTAACCCCGAAACCAAGCAGACCGCTGGAGGGCTTTGCTCTCCCCTCCGCGCGCAGGGCAGCGGCGGTGGTCTTTCCAGGGTGGGCACAGCGAAGAACAAGGGCCTCAATCTTCTGAGGCTAAAATGCTCTGAAACAGAGCCAGAGCGGCTCCCTGGAACCCTTGTTTTTGGGGTGTCATACTTACAGAGGTGGAGTAGGAGCCATGTGTGGTCTCCGCTGGCAGAACTGCCTGTTAAAACGTGGCGAGTCTTCCAGGAGAGTCGCCTGTGCCAGGCAAGGCCAGCATCCTCCTCGGGTTTGAACTGCACAGGCACTACCTCTTCCTGCGACCCCCTGCCGCTCTGTCCCTCCCCTCCAAGGGCGCTCGTGAAAAGTTCACAGCAGAGAAAACTGAGGTTTGTTTCAAATCACGTTTGCACCCAACAGAGACTGGGGAAAGTGTTTTAAAAGGGGAACACTCCAGCTTATTGTCAGGGGACAGAAGAATTTCTTTTTTTTTTAAGTTAATATGAGGATGAAACACAGTTTCTGTCCAGAAAAAGATGCTGTAGTAAAATACATAAACGTCCCCAATGTCAGTTCTTTATACTCTGAAAATACGACACGAGTAGTTTTGTCTTAAATTTCACATTCAGATTTTTCTGGTAAAGACCTCTTTGCTTTTTGGCTTTCTCCAACAGGCAGCCAGACACAGCTCAGCTGTCCTTTTACAGCATTGCGCTCGGTGCGGTTCTTTGCAGAACCGCCTGACTGCGAGGGGAAGCGGGAAGAACGAAGAGGACCGAGCACTGTCCCTGCAGCGAAACGAGAAGTTAGGAAGTAACCTGGTGAAGCGTGCTCAAAAGAAACCTCAGACATCTCTACCATCAAATCAACATCATCTTTCAAACTCGGATCAAAGCCCCATTAGCTTTCCAGGTTCATGTTGTCTGAAAAGACGCAGGAAGGGCATAAATACATACCCAGCAACAGAGACACTGCCGCAGCTCCTATTTCCCCCGTCAGTGACCTTCGCTACAGAAACAGCCCCTCTGTTTGTCACAGAAGGTGACAGGACAGTCACCTGAGGATGCAATCTGAACACACCAGCATCTTACCTGTGTACTAAACACAGAAGCCCGAACATTAGGATATTAAGAGCAAGATCTTCCCCACTGGTCCATTATCTACTAACTCTCAGGAGCCGAGCCAGGTCCTTGGGGTTCGACAAATCATCGCGCATTCTCCCTGCTTGCATTTCTGCATTTTCCTTTAGCAACGGGTGAATCGTTCCTTTCCCGCTCCCCAGCCGAGCTGGAAATTAACAGACTTTTGCTTATTTGCTACACCGTAGAGAGTAGTCCGAAATTAGCTTGCAGGAATTAGATCATACCATTAAAAAACAGAAAGTACTTACAAACCAGAAATCTTATACACTAAAAATCCCAAAGATATTAAAACAAAGTCAAATTATCAGCCTAAACACGTACTGTTCTCTCCAAGACATCACCGAAACATAAAGCAAAGCTACTGTATAAGTTAGGCGTTAGTATACCGACTTCATTTTCTTTGTGGTCGTGTGAATGGTAGAAGGACCTTTATCATTAACTTTTACTGGGATTTTCCACACAAAACCAAGCAGCAAGTAGAAAAAAAAATAAATAAGATTTTGTCTAAAAAGGGAAGCCTACAAGGTGTCCGTGTGGACTTTACGCTGAGGGGAGAAAGAAACCCTCTCATTTAGGGAAGGGAATTGGAAAGGGTGGGGTGGTTACCGACTGGCAAAAAAAAAAAAGGCTCCACGGCCAAGTGTTTGTAGTAACAGAAAACCAGCTGCGGCGTGAGCTCTCCTGCATAAACAACATGAGCGTGAATGCACGTGTTTCTCTACGGAGAAATTAAAGCTTTCTTGTCAGAATTTTCCAATCTCAACTTACTGGTGTTTATTTGAACTCTAAAATTATCAAGTAGAAAAAAACCACCGGTATTCCTCACCAGGGACGAAATAAAGCAGCAGTTGTTGTTTCACATCCTGTGTATTTGCTTGTTGTTTCTCGATGAAAACTGATGCGAGTCGAGTTTGGGGTCAGTTTTAGCACCAGGAATTATCTCAAAACTCGGCTTTTACAAAAGCAAGCAGAAAGTTTTCTCTCAGATATAATACAACCAGGTTTTATTTAAGTTCTCTCTTTTTCCCCCCCACACTGGCAAAAGTTCAGAGGGAGTTTAAAGTTTTGTAAACATTTTAACTACCCCTCTTCCCCCTTTTATGAATTTACAAAGCAAAGGAGACAGGGAGACCAGATTTGCAACAGTTCCAAGTCTCTCCATGCTATTGGATCCAAAAACTATATACAAGTCTGCAGCAGTCTCTGTATAGTTACTGTACATGTTTGGGGGCAGGGGGAAGAGAGAGGAGGAGGAGGAGGAGGAGAAGGAGGAGGAGGAGGGGAAGGTGACCCCAAAAAATGAATAAACCAAACAAAATAAAATCCAAAGCCAAACTGCTCTTGAGCAACTCGAACTGTTTTCTTTAGGCAGTGATGACAGAACGACAGACACCTTTACACAACTCCACCAAAACTGTAGCGCATCTCCCTCGGCAGGTTATAACCCTCTGGGAACGGGAGATGGGACCAGGGGGTTGAAACTAAGTGCATTTGGCAGTTTCCGTTTTCTTTCTTTTGTGGTGGGTGCATGTGGGTGGGTGGGTGGAGAAGGGAAGGTGGTGCTAATCTTTCGGTGAGAGAGGAAGGTGGTGATTCCGTAAATACTTAAAGATCATGGATCCCAGTGAAGGTGCGTGGAATAGTTTAAGGTGTAGAAGATAAGCAGGGCCGTTCATTGCACATAGCTTCGCCCTCCACAGTCTCTCTTCAGGACAAAAGGGCATCTCTGCTCGTTAACCTAAGCACTGCTTCAAGTGACAACTAGCTAAGACTGCTGGGGTACGTATCTGAAAGCCAGTGTTCACCCTCACCAAAGACTAAAGATCCACACGGTAAATATCCTACTGTCTCTTAAACGAGACAAATTTGCAGGAAAAGAGCTCAAAATAAACTGGTCCTAAACCTCCGAAGGTAGCATTTAAGGGATAAATTCAACCTGAAAGAAGAGATGCCACCCCACTTTTTTTCCCCAGAGTAGAAGTCCCCACTTGTCCGGGAAGGCTGGAATACGCCGACAGGGAACTCCACCAGCTTCAGCATCACCACCTAATGAAGACAGACTCGAGCTTTCCCTCCAAAAATAATGTGCTGAGAAGGGCTGGCAGGGGGTGTGCAACTTCAAACCAACCCAAGCTAAACTGCGCCCGCCACCGCCCCTCTCCTGCTGTTGCCAGTTCTAAGGTTAGCTTATGAATGCAACTCCTGGCCTGGGAGAGCACCTCTTGCCCTGATGGAGCGCGGAAGTCAGTATCTGTGTGGCATTTTGGTTTTGACCAACATCTGTTAACCACAAACTCTCTCGCTCTCTCTCTCCGTGACTGCACGTGTTGGATGTGGTAAGAGTAACCAGGAGAGGGACGCAATGGTTTGCAGAATCCCAATTGATATTTTTTTTTTTTTTTCCAGGTATGTCAGCAGAAGAAATCACAGCACAGTGAAAGCTTGCTGCCCAAATCAGCCTTGTTGCGAACGAATCCTATCTCCCACCCTCCCAGGACTCGGAACAAAGTCCACTTGACTCTAGGCTGACGGTAGGAACAACGCCTGTGCAGTCCTGGGCAGAAAGGTTTTGCTGGGGCTAGAGGAAGCAGCCTGAGATGATTGATTCTGTGATTCACTGCAAGGCGAAGAAGAACGCATGGTGGAGAGTACTGTGTCCAAAACGGAGAATCCATGGTTAACAGATGCAGGAAAAGCCAGTTGATTTGCACATGCTCAGTAGTCTTCCAAAGTCTCTATTTCTCCCATATTGAGCCGCTCTGACGAGGCATTCACTGAAAACCCTGTGAACCAAAAAAGACTTGTGTTAAACATCTGGATGTGGTATATTGTGTTTGAAGCAATACACCCGTTACACGGAGTAGCACGTGTAAGATAAAGTAAATAATACACATCAGATAAGAACTCGGGGGGAAATTCAGTAAGGCTAGAGATATCATTACCCAAACTGTTTGGTTTTTTCCTTAATAAATCAAAGAATCAATTGTACATTCAAGTAAGTATCACTCGGTCTTTAAAAACAGACCAGAAGAACACTGGTTTCAAACTTTCATTTAAAAGATGTCATCTGCAGAGCTCGTACAAGGCACATCTAGGCCCAGTGGCAACGTGGCCCAGCAACGTCTTGGAAGGGAGCGCGTTTGAGTCACCTGGTACTTGGAAGCGCCTTTCGACGCTGTACTTATATGGTCCAAGAGGCAGAAAAATACATTTTGCGAACTTGGAATCTGAGTGTGGAATCAGGCTCAACACTTCAGGGGGGTGTGAGCAATTCTACCCCTTACTGAAAGCCTAAATACACCTATCTATGAAATCTAGTGGCAATTCCATGCACTTCCATGCTTTTTTTTTTTAAAAAAAAAAAAAACAATCTTCTGTCTCAGGAGTACAATGTGAAAATGTACAACGTTACGTAGGGCTATGCAGATGGCTCAAGATGC